AAACCAGGTGTCTGTGCAGATAGATTCACATCTATGTATTTTTGAAGGCCTACCTGTGAGAAAGGGTGAGAGTAACTGGGTGGGGGGTTCTAAATATAATTTTAGTGGTTTGTGATTGAAGTATGTGAAGCAATAGCAAGAACAGGGTTTGACAGGACAAATGTGATTGTCTAAGTTAAAATGGTGGTGCATGTACAACCTATATTGAGTTACTTGCCTTCTCAATGAGGGTGGGTGGGGAGGGAGAAACAGAGAAAATTTGAAACCTAAAGTTTTAAAAACATATGTTTAAAAAAAATGTTTTCACATGCTACTGGGAAATAAGAAATACAGGAAATGGGGTACAGAAGTCTATCCTGCCCTACAGGAAAATAGAAGGGGAAGGGGATAAGAGAAAAGGAGAGAGATAGAAGAGAGGACAGACTAAGGGAAGGGATATTCAGAATGCATGCCATCTTGGGGTGGGGGGAGATGGGGTGAAAATTTGGAATTCAAAAACTTGTGGGAGTGAATGTTGAGAACTAAAATAAATAAATTTATATCTAAGTTAAAATGGTGGTGGATGGTGGTTGCTCCAGTTCATGGACAGATGTCCATAAAACCTTTACAAAATTGCATATAATCCAGTGTATATAAATTGGGCACTCATGCAAAGCTCATTCCCATGAGAAATGATTCATTTGGACCTCTACTCTACTCCAATAAGTATTAATCAGTCTGACATTTTACATAAATCACATAGGGATAATTATATAAGATAGGTTCTTACAGTAGGCCTAAAACTTCAATCTAATGTTCACTATTTGTTTATCAGTTGTGAAGTTCACTTGAACAGCCACAAGAACGATGACAAAAATATCTCAATCCTGTTTTGATCAAATTCCAAGTCTAAGGTATGGAAAGGCCCCAATTCAGTTTGGTATCTCTATACTACCCATACCATCTCCTCTTGCCCAACATGAGGAGGAACACATTCATCTTATTATCAATTAGTCAGTGGAGATATTCTGCACTTTGCCCAACCCATGACCTTCAAAACAAGGTCTATCAACCAATGGGATTTTATATTTTCCTTTGCCTCTCCTGAGTATCCAGGTATCAAACCCTACAAAAATAAGATTCTGGGGACCAGGGGCATCTCAGACCATGAAAAAAGATCTGAGGCCCACTTCATTAGAGGGGTCCATGAACCCTTTAATAAAGTGCTATTGGCTTGGAGCTCTGTCTCAGTGGTTTTTCTTTCAGACTGGACAATTTTGGACATCACATTCCTATGGACAAAGGGATGTTATTTCATCCCGTGAGTTTACAATATGAGTCAGGGATAATCCAACACCTTAGGTAGAAGTTTCATATATAATTCTGAACTCAACTCAAATCTTATTACAAGAAAATAAAGTTATTCTAGTATTCATCATTCTAAAATTGAAGCAGCAGAGATGATACATCAGAAAAAAATGAGAATAAATGCCTCAACAACCTCACAAACTGGATTAACATTCTCTTCTTTTTACTGTGCATTATATTAATACTTTATCTGTTTATTTCTTATACATAAAGTAAAATGTTACTGTTCACCTTCTGATGAAAGTTTGTGCAAAATGGAGTGAGGAAGCCCATAATTCCAAAAAATTAAGCGTGTACAAAGACCAAGTATTTAAAGTAGTATAGAAAGGGAGTTAAGAGAATGACTGAGTGATATGGAATGTGTACAAAGAACAAAACCTCAGCAACCACCACCTTTGAGCAAAGGAATACATTACAGCATCCCCAGAGGGTGCCATCATCACTTGCTTTTTAGCCATAGAAGAGGCAGTATAAATGAAGAATTAATGGTTCTGCCATCTCAAAAAGGCATGCCCACATTTGAATTAAAGGAACTAAACATCCTATTTTAGGTGAACTGGCCTAGGTTTTAATCTGTATAAAACTGTTCCCAGTATATATATGTATATATATATATATATGTGTGTGTGTGTGTGTGTGTGTGTGTATACATATATATTGACACTCTCCCCAATTCTGAAAGGCCACAGACTTCCTCATGCGACATAGATAGGGTCTATGGTTACTGATCCTAATCTCCAGACTCCTATTATATGAGCTGGAGCCAAGAGTTAAGTGCTTTAGGGAAAAAAGGCTAGAGCCAGAGAGAAGTAAGCATTGAGGCAGAGAGAAGGGTTGACAGATGAGGCTGAATATGGAAGAGGACAGCAAAACTCCTCCGTGAGTAAGTGGGTAGACCAGTTAGTAGACAGGCAAGAGATGTGTTGGTTGGGAGCTTAGAGGAAATAATCAGATAAGATAAAGGAAAATAATGCAAACTGTGACCCATGTTCCCTTTCCCCTCTTTCTCTTTCTCTTGTTTTCATGAGGGTCCTTTGATACCCAGTCAGAGAAGTTTTTCAACTAACTGTGAAAGCATTACTATTCCATTAAAGAAGTTTCAATATTACCCAAGATACTAGTGACCTCCACAAAGCAGGCAGGTCAGGCAAATTCCCATGAGGCCATACTATTTCTAGCAAGAGTGTTAGGGGAATGAGGCTCTTCCCAGAGTGAGGGCAGCAGCAGGGAAGCTTCCAGATGTTCAATGGAGAGTTGTTGAGCCCTGCTTAGCCACCGTGTCCCTGCTCATACTGGCTTAGCTGGTACTTCATGTGTGATCAGGGAGTTCTAGGTTTGAGTTACTAGTGTCATGCTGCACCACAGAGGGCACAGAAGCCAATTCCGATCACCATCAATCGGGTGCCTTTTGACAGGCATCCAGTTAAAACTCCCATCCCATTCAAATGTTGGCATTTCCCTCTGAGAAATAGAAATTGAACAATGACTGGCAGATGGCTTCCCTGTCCCCCCCACTCCTTCTGTGACCTCTGTATGGTGATGAGGGCTTAAACTACTTGAATCGCCAGGAGTGAAGTTTTAATGGTTTTATTGCATTGGTGGGGTGGCAGCACAGACTGGGCTGGTGGAATAAATGACATTTGTCCCTCCTGAGGAGAAGTTGTGACCAGACTGAGCCCTAAATAAAGGACCCAAGAATTCTTTTTAACCTCCACAAAAAAAAAAAATTTCCAGGAGGTATGGATACTACTGCTCCCTCTTATCCTCCTCTAAAAGTGTAAAAAAAGCACTTCTCCAAGGGGCGACAAACCAAATGTCCATTTCGCTTTTGTTGGTCCTTGGGATATTGTCCTTGCTTAGGAAGGACACATCAATAACAAAAAGAAGAGTCCATTTCACATATGTGTAAGTTTGAAGCCTTCCATCCTTACAACATGGCAGGGGAGATATGGAGATTTCCCAACCCTGCTCACTCATAAGCCAAGTATAGGTTACTGTTAGAGTTATATTGCACAAGCACAAGAGTCCTGGATGTTCCTGGAGAGGGGGGAAGGGTGAAGCTTTGGGGTGATCAACAGCAGTAAACCAGGAGAAACATTTCTGCATGTGACAGGAAAAGCTCTGGGCAGGAAGGCCACATGTGAAAGAGGAGGAGGCAGAGGCAGTGTGGTCTAGTAGAGCAGAAACTATACTGGATTTGGTGCCAAAGGACCTGGGTTCAAATCCCACTCTGCCACTTGCCATCTGTGTGACCTTGAGCAAGTCATGTCACCTCTCCAGGCCTCAGTTTCTTCATTTGTAAAACGAGAAGTTAAGGCTACATGACCTTTAATCCATCAGTAGTGCCAGGTATTGTACAAGAAACTTGGGAAGCAAAGGCAAAAAAAATGAAACAATTCCTACTCTCCAGGGACTTAGATTCTATTGGGGGAAACAACAGGTACATAAACAAATACACACAGAATACAGAATGCCTCTTCTAGCTCTAAACTTATGTTTGTGAGACATCAAAACAATAGATCGTTCAAATGCAAATACAACACAGAAGGTAGAGCAAATAAGGGAAACAAGTAGAGGAACCTAAAATGTGTTATTGGGGCTCTCCAGATGGTGTAGGGAGCACTGGCCTGCAGTCAGAAAGACCTGAGTTTAAATCTAGTCCCAGATATTTCCATGCTGTATGACACTGGGCAAGTCACTTCACCTCTGTCTGCCTCAATTTCCTCAACTGTAAAAAGAGGATAATAATGGCACCTCCCTCCCAGGGTTGTGGTGAGGATTCCAAGAGACAATGTGTAAAGTGCTTAGCACAGCACCCAGCACATTGTAGATGCTGAATAAATGCTTGTTCCCTTCCCTTCCTCCTTTTGTTTGGTTTCCATGTAAATATTTGGTGTGGAGGGAAATCTGAGCGTGTACAACAGGCAGTTATTCATTTTCTTTTTGAGGTGATAACAGCATAAGAGAAATAACTATTACAAGGAGTAGGGGAAGCATTGGAGAATCTGGGTGGAAATGAATAAATAAAAGATTTACTACATGCAAAGAACTGTGGATACAAATAGAAAAGCACAACAGTCCCTGATTAACAGTCAAGGAACTCCTATTCTAAGGGAAGGCAACACATATTGGAAGGTTCAGCTGCCTGGAAAAAAAGGCCCAGCAGCCCTGGGGTACTGCTCACACAATGAGGCCAGGCAGCCCAGATGGCTAATAATGCAGTTTGGCCAGAGTGTAGAGGGGAGATAAGACTAAGGGACAAACACAACTTCTTCAGCATCATTTCAATGGGTAAAAACCAGACCCATTTCTGATGATGAGCCACTTGCCGGTGCCAACAGCTTCTGTGAAGAGAGCTTTGTCTTGGGAGGCGTCAGTCACCACAGTTGCCACCAAGGCAGGGGCTGCGGGGACAGAAGAGGGAGTTGCCAGAACCACTAGAAATATTGTGGGCTAAATGGAATGTTTGCAGCCAAGAGAGTTTTAAGAGCTACTTACGAGGTTTCTCTAAATGGAATTTTTACGATTCTTTGTGGCTGGTTAGGAAGTGATAAACAGGTTTTTCCTTCATATTACTAAGTGTTCACAAAATAGGTACTTCAGTAACATCAATCTTTTTGATTACTATGGAAAATGGCAGGCTCAGATCTTACCTTCCAGCTCTTCTTTTTCATAGTGAATATTGAGAATTGTACTGGTCCCTCCCTGGTCCACAACTGCTTCTTCATCTGCTCTCTAAAGAATGAATAAAGAGGGTATATACCAATTATATCCTCCTTGTTATCTCTGTCTCTCCGCCTCTGTCTCTGCCTTTCTCTGTCTCTCTTTGTGTATCTCTGCGTATCTCTCTCCCACCTTTGATACACTTTCTTTTCTTTTTTTAAAATTCATTTTTTTGCCATAGAAATCACTTCTCAATGTCCCCACCCTCCCACACACAAAAGGAATTAGGACTGACAGCATGCATAACATTCTGCTCTTAGAGTCCACCCTTGTATACTAACTTCAGTCATCTAGAACCTGTATTGGCCATAGTATTATACTTGAATTCTGTTGTCTTTTAATGTTCTCTTCACTTATGTAACTGTAGCCATTAGGTGTATTTGAGTTCTGATCTTTTTCATCCCACATTGGTTCATACAAAACTTCCCATGTTTCTCTGAATTCTTCATATTCACTATTACTTACGACCCCCAAATTTCCATTACATTCACTCATCACAGTTTGTTCAGTCATCACAGTCTGTTTCCTGCACAGATTATTTCCACCTTGCTGTCTTTGCCAATTTGATCGGCACTCCTTTCTTTTCTGAAATTCTTTCCTCCTTTACCTCAGTGACATTAAACACTATACTGACTTCTACATTTCTTCCCCTTCAGGCTCCATCTCCTTCAGTAACTCTTTTTCCCCCAACTGTGAGTGTTTCCCAAGAAAGAACCCTCTGCTCTTCTTTCCTTACAAATTATCTTTCTGTGAATTCTTCCTTCACTCTCAAGGCTCTGACTCCCCTCTTTATGCTGATGACTCCTAAATTGAAGCCAATCACATATCTCTAATAACTATACAGAAATCCTACCTCAAACTTCCATTTCTAAAACTAAACTTTCCTTCTGTTACTCCATTACTTCCCCAGTTCTGTCAATGGCAACATCATTTCCCAGATAACCAGGCCTAAAATGTAAGTGTTATCTTTGACTCCTCCCATTACAGAATAAGTACAAAATTAATCATCAATTTTTATTGTTCCTTCATTACGTCTTTTGAATTCATTCTCTCCTTTCCATTCCCTTTGCCAACAGTCTGATCCTTCCTTCACCCCTGATAACTGGAAGCCTCCAGTTTCCCAATCCATCTTGCACACCCCTGACAAATTAGCCTTCTAAAACACCACTTTATTCATGTGATTTGCTGTTCAAAAATATTTTACTTTGACTCCCATTGCCTACAGGATAAAATCCAAAGTCCTTAACGTTTGGTATTCAAGGCCCTCTGTGATCATTTTAATCCATGTGTACCATCTTATCTCCTACTACTGTCCTTCATAAACCCTTTCCTCCAGACAGACTACACTAGTCACTGATCCTGGAACATGCCATACACATTCCTGCTTCTATGCTTTTCCTCATGTCATTCTCTCTGTGGCAGTATTCACCCACTTCTTTCTATCTCCAATTCCTCTCCCTCTTTCAAAGCCCAGCTCAGGACCCCTCTTCTCCATGAAGCCCTTTCCCGACCAAAATTATGTGCATCCCTTACGTTCTCCAACTAAATTTTAAGCTACTTGACAGCTGGGGCTATGTCATAATCATCTTTATATTCCCTGAAGTACTTATCATAGTGCCTTGAACTGAAAAAAACTGAAAATGTTTATTGAATGAATATCTGTACCTATCATTTGATACTTAATCTTATACTGTCTTTTGGTCACTCCCCCAAAAAGTTCCATAACATTAATTCTTGTAAGTATATGCTTATATCTCCTCAACTAGATTTTAGGCTCCTCAAAGGACAACTTTGTACCCACCAAAGCACCTAGCACAGTGAAATGGCACCTGCTTGACAGTTACTGAATGAATGAAAATTAAATTTCAATGACAACATTCATTTATTATTGCTCTATAAGGAAAAAAAATGAAAAAGGGAGGCAATTATATGGAAATCTCAAACAAAACAATCTGCTACTAATAGCAATTAGGCATGGGGTGAGGTGGACTTCAATAATTCAGATTGGCTATCTGTAGGCTGAATTCACTGAAAATCATTTATCTCTTCATTTTACTTTGTCAGAGAAGACACAGTCAGTATCAAAGGCATGTGAAAGGTCAACCATGCATGATCAGAATATGGCTTTATTAGTCTATGTTAACTGAAGATTCTATATCTACCATTTAGTTTTTACTTTCCTATGATATCATCAAATTCCTCAATCCAAAAAAGAAAAAAAAAACTATAGAAAAGGCCTTGTCGATATGAACAGGAAGTTCTCAGATGAAGAAATTAAAGCCATCTATAGTCATATGAAAAAATGCTCTAAATCACTATTGATTAGAGAAATGTAAATCAAAACAATTCTGAGGTACCACATCACACCTATCAGATCGCCAACATGACAAAACAGGTAAATGATAAATGTTGGAGAAGAGGTGGGAAAATTGGAACATTAATGCATTGTTGGATAGAGCTGTGAAATGATCCAACTATTTTGGAGAGCAATTTGGAACTATGCCCAAAGGGCTATAAAAATGTGCATACATTTTTATATGACCTAGCAATAGCACTTCTAGGGCTGCATCCCAAAGAGATCATAAAAATGGAAAAAGGACCCACATGCACAAAAATATTTATAGCAGCTCTTTTAGCGGTAGCAAAGAATTGGAAATTGAAGGGATGTCCATCAATTGGGGAATGGCTGAACAAGTTGTGGTATATGAATGTAATGGAATACTATTGTGCTATAAGAAATGATGAGCAGGTGGACTTCAGAAAAACCTGGAAAGACTTGTATGGTCTGATGCTGAGTGAAGTGAGCAGAACCAGGAGAACATTGTACACAATAACAGCCATGTTGTGCAATGATAGACTTAGCCCTTCTCAGCAATGCAAGGATCGAAGACATCTCCAAAAGTCTCATGATGGAAAATGCTATCCACATCCAAAGAAAGAACTATGGACTTTGAATGCAGATAGAAGCATACTATTTGCTATATTTTTCTTCTGTTTTGTTTTGTTTCCTCTTTCTTGCGGTTTCTCCTATTGGTTCTAATTATTCCTTATAACATCACTAATGTGAAAATATGTTTAATAGGAAAAAGAGAAAAGACCTTGTGTCTAATTTTTTCCTTTTATTCTTTTATATCTCCTTCCATTACCTACAGCCAGTGAATATGAATTAAATTAGGAGAGACAGGCTCTAAGAGCTTAAAATAACAATAAAGGAAAAAATGGTCAAGGGGTTAAATACACACAAAATACTGCAATAGAATGTCACTGATGAAGAATGGACACTGATGATAGGAAAGAATAAAGGCCTTGAAACAGAAAGAATTGTAATAAACCTTGAAACTGGATGAATCACAGCTGAAAAGCACAGCCCACAGCTTACTGCTATTGGACAAATTAAAAGGCAGAAGTATGGCACCAGATCCTGGAATCACTTAATGAGTAGAAGCAGCAAAATAGAAAGGATCAATGGCTGAAATGGAGATAAGAACTGCCTGGATCCTCCCACTTTAAAACTTCCCTTTCTGAGTCCTGGTAATTGCGGTTAAGAAACTGACCAGTCAGCCATCCACTGACTTATTCTACTCATGCATCCTTTCAACAATTCCCAAGTTCTTTACCACCAAATCCCTTCTTTATCTCATTGGATTCTAGCTCCTTCATGAATTGAGGCCAATGACTTCATGCCACAGATCCTCAAGGCCTTGTTCACCTTCGCCTCCCTATTGACACCTACAAAACAAGTAAGAAATGTGATCTGCAGGTTGCTGGTGTCAAAAGGCCACTGGGTCACAAGGGAAAGTATGTGTCAAAAGATTTGGGTTCAAATTCCAAACCACCTTTTGCAACGTTAGACAAATCACTTAACCTCTCCAGCACTTAGTTTTCTCATCTTTGTAATGAGGGGGTTAGACCAGATCAGGGGTCTTAACCTGGGGTCCATAAACCCTCCTGTACAGGGTTCAGTGAATTTGTATGAGGGGGGATTACATTTCTATTTCAACATAGTTGGTTTCCTTTGTAATCCTACGTATTTTATTACATGCATTTAAAAACATTATCCTGAGTGAGAATCCACAGGCCTCCATCAGACTTCTAATGAGGTCCATGGCACAAAAAGAGGTTAAGAATCACTAGATCAGATCATCTCCAGTGTCCCTTCAAGCTCTAAATCTATGATCCTCTGATTGGTTTCCCCTACTGATGCTCCAAATGTCTTGCCCACAATAGACATTGGCTCTTAGATGATCAATTGGTTGCCATCCTAGTTCAGTGCTGCCTTCTATAAACCTTAATCATTTCAAGTAATGAGTTGGGACATTTGGATTTCCTAGTGAATTACTAAGATAGGTCCTTGTTATTCAGCAGAGATTTCTTGTCAATACATTGTGGTCTCCTAACCACTAAGTTAATAGTAGACTTGTTACTACTTGACGGACAAAAACAAACAAATGTTATTCTCTAATATCAATTGCAGTTACCTAGCAGCAGATTTAAGATAAACATGGTTACCTTTCAGTTGCCTGATTACTAATGTTTCAGACAGCCAAGATAAGACTAACTATGGCCAAAGCAAAATAGTGAGCAAAGACAATTACTTTGATAATTTAGGAAGAAGAGAATCCGCTGCTTGAATTGTTCCAATACCTGCCTCCATTCTTTTGTTCTATAAGTCTTGCCCATGTTGCTCCTAGCAACCACTAACCAGTAGTTCTGGCCATTGGAAATGAAAGGCAAAAGAGTATTCCTGATTTATACATAGGGGAGTGGGAAAGAGGGAATGTGGGAATTATATAAATAAGTGAAACAAATTGTCACTATTCTTCTGATCTTCTGCCAATCATGAACCCTCAGCATGGTTACTAGAGGCTTTTACAGAATCACTGAAGTCCTTGTATAACCCTCCTCCCATTGATAGCCCATCCCCCCTTCACATTTGCACTATTCCTCAGATGTCAAATAATTGTCAGCTTTCTTTGGTTGAGATGTTTTGTAATATTATCCATCCTAAGGAGAGTGGGTATACACACAATCCCAGATAGAATGCCTTATATTTATCCTGATTCTATTAGTACCTCATCTACTTTCCATTTCCCCCCAACAACCCAGCCTCAGGATGCCCAGGATTCCATTTCCCAACCAGCATACCAGCACCAGCCTCAGCTGGTTGTTCAGCTACTAAGCATTTCAGCAGCTATTTGGAAGCTGTGAGTGATCCCCAGACTTTGTAGCTGTTACTAAGTGTGGATGCTGCTCCAGGTTGTGTACTTGGCTTTCTGCTTTCACTTCTTTATATGTATTCATTTTGAGAGCTCAACGTCCTTACTGCTTCAACTATCACTTTTATGCTGAAGACTCATAAAAATATATCTTTGCCCTCACCTCTCTGCAGAGAAGATAGACAATTGAGCCAGGAAAAGCCACCTATTCTGTGAGAGTGAAGAGATAACTTCCAGGCTCTTATGAGATGACCTCTTTATTGACACATGGCCAACACCAATTGGTTGCACATGTACCTTAACAAAGGGTCAGGGCATAGACCCATCCTTCTGCCTGTTCTATGGGATTGCCTCTACTATACTTGTACCCCCATTTACCTATAAGGTAAGCACACCCGGATATTACACTACCACTTTAAACTCAACACTTCCAAAATTAAATTCTTCATACACACACACATACACATACACACACACACACACACACACACACACAGAGTTCTTTATTTTCATCATTGGTAGCACTAGTCTTCCAGGCTCCCAAAATAGAAAACTTGAAATCAAGATTTAGCTCTAAAACATTCTTTCACTCTGTCATCTACTCTAACATGCCTGTCAGCAAGTCCAGTCATTTATTCCTCTTGCAATCTATCAAAATCTCCTTCCCCTCCATTCCCTCCCACTGCTATCACCATAATCCAGATCCTTTTCATCTCATATACTATTTACTCAAATAGTTAACCTTCCTAACTTCTGCTTTTTGTTGTTGTTGTCCAGTCTTTTTATTTCTGTCTGACTCTTTGTGGCCTCATTTGGGGTCTTCTTGGCAAAGATACTGGAGTGGTTTGTCATTTCCTTCTTCAGCTCATTTTACAGATGAAGAAACTGAGGTAAACAAGTGATTTGCCCAGGATCATACAGCTAGGAAGTGTCTGAGGCTGGATTTGAACTCATAAAGATGAGTCTTTCAGCACACTATCCACTACACTACCTAACTGTCCTAACCCCTACTTATCCCTATCAAATTTGTCTTACCTGCTCCTAGAACATTGATTTTCCTAAAACATTTTCCATTGATCAAGAACTTAATGGTTCTCAATTACTTACTATATCATATCCCAACTCTTTCTGATTTTGAAAACATTCTATAATCTGGCTGTCCCCAAACAGACTCAACTTTACTTTGTACCCCAGTTCATCTGGTCCACTCACTGTACCCAGCATGCTTTACACTAATTCCCAATGCTATGATTTTACTAGTTGGCTGTTTTCCCTAAATAGAATATTCCCTACACCTGTCTAAGTATTCTCCCCCCTTCAAGGCCCAATTCAATTCTTACCTTCCGCAGAAAATCCTTAATGACTACTCCCAATTCCCTCTTCTCCAAATTCCTAGAATCATGGATTCTTAGAGTCAGTAGGGACTTTAGAAAGTCATCACCTAGTCCATCACCCAGAATTTCATTATATTGGGCAAGGGGTGGGGAGTAAAGTGAGTGGGGATGCATTTTTGAGGGAGGGCACTAATCAAACTGAAACCTTCAGGGACAGGGAAAGTGAGGAAAGCAGTTTATTGTGATTCCCTGACTTTATTTCTCTATGGGATGATCTTGTTTGACCTGGAATTCAAAGGTATGTTATGCTACATAAAAAGGAGAAATAGTTGAACTCAAAATTCAGTATGGGACAAACAAAAGAAGGGAGAAGACTTCCCTATTTTACTGGGAGAAGACTTCCCTATTGGTGGTAGAATTGGTGGTAAAATTGAAAAACGGTTTGGCAGAAATTAGGTTTAGGCCAACACTCTATATCATATATTGCAATAAGCTTAAAGTGCACATGTGACCTGAATAACTAAAGGTTATACCATTAAAAATTAGAAGAAAACAAGATCAAGTACTTTTCACAGCCATGTCTAGGGTAACAAGTCTTGACCAAATAAGGGACAGAGGTGATCACAAAAGATCAAACAGATAATTTTGATGACATGAAATTGAAAAGCTTTTCCATAAACAAAGTTAATTCAACTGGAATAAGAAAGGAATAAGTCAATGGGGGGAACGGATCTTCGTATCAGATATCTTTGGAAAAGGTCTGATATCCAAAATATAAGTAACTAACACACACATATGACCAAAAGACACTCCTCAAAGGATAAGTGATCAAAGGATATGAACAAACAGATCTAAAAAAACCTACAAACTATCAATGACCATATGAAAGGCTACTCCAAATACCCAAAACAGAACAGAAAGAAGTTCAGAACAGGTTACATTCAAGGAGGGCAGTGTTGGAAATACATGGTAAATCAAAATAAACTTTTTTTTTAAAAAAAGCTGCATGTAAGGTATATTCGTGGTTTCATGTGTAGTCCTCTCCTGTTCTTTATATAAGGAAATATTCATGTTTATTGATGTTTTTCAAGTTCATAAAAATAAAAAGGAAAAAATTCAACTGAATATTGTGAAATTGCCCCCCCAAAAGAGATAAGAAGGTAGATGAAAAGATGGAGGCCTAGGTGTAGAACACTGTTTAAAATGCCTGCCTTGGTTGAAATGTTGGTTCATTTTACTTAATTTTTTTTCCTTTTAAAAATCCTTTGTTATTAGAGATGGGGGGATATGTTGGGAAATGTAGGTAATAAAAAGGAAAGATACTAATAATTTTTTAAAGTATGATATGAAGTGAAGTCTCTGTTTCCTCACACATCCTGTTCTAAACTGTGGTCAGGGGGCAGCTAACTGGCACAGTGGATAGAGCACCGGCCCTGAAGTCAGGAGGACCTGAGTTCAAATCCAACCTCAGACCAAACACTTACTAGCTGTGTGACCCTGGGCAAGTCATTTGACCCCAATTGCCTTAAAAAAAAAACTATGGTCAGTAAAAGATGGGGGTGCTTGGAACTAGATCAGAGATACCAAACTTTAGACTTCTTCCTCAGCCTCCAGTTTCTCCCAGAGAAGATAGATGGTGTGTAGGACTGACAAACTTGACATTAGATCAGAGAGAGAGAGAAAGTGGGGATCAAGGCTATTCTCTGCCCTTCTATGAAACACCTTTACCTCAAGCAACGTCAGATCTTTCCTCGCCTATTTGTCATTACTCCATGAAATGGGCATGAATGTGTCACTGGCAGGTTTTTCCAACTCTCAGGTATGTCTCCTTTCCCCCCCCCCCGAATCAAGGGACTCAGAGGTCTCCTGATGTCACCATCTTCATGAAGAGAAAGAAAAATCCAGTGCCTGACAGAATCGTGTTATTATTCATTCAAAACTTTCCAGCCCTAGCCCCTTTCTCCAGAACTATCCCCATCATCAAGATGTGTCACTTGAATCCAAAATCTTTCCTTGGCCCCCCCCCCCAATATCACCACATGCCTTTTATCTTTCCCTGCATTCACCTTTACCTTTCATTTCTTTCTCTCAGCACAGTTCCTGTTACCGGCTCCTTGAATCCCTAAAGCATCCCCATCCCCCTGAAAAAGGTGGCCAAGTGTCTCTACCCCTCCTCTCCCAGTCTCCCTAACACCAGGCTGCCAGAGGACCACATCCTCCCTCCCTAGGTCAGCTCCCAATCTCCTCATCTCTCCCCGGGCCGGGGACCCCAGGACACGAGAAAGGGTTTGCCGGGCCATCCTTCTAGAATGGCCAGGCGTCCCTGGTCCCTCGAGAGAGAATAGAACCCCAGGCACCCGACGCCACCCACACCCCCTCTGCCACCCCCCCCCGGCGCTGGCTGCCGCAGTGCCCGGCTCCGGCCCAAGGTCACCGCCGCTCCCGCAGCCCGGGCCCGCCGTGCAGGGCGCCCGGTGGAGCCTCCGGGAGCGCCCCTTCCCTCCATTCCATCCCCACCCCGGAAAGCGCGGCCCAGGCCGGGGCTCCGAGAGAGGACAAGGGACGGGAGGGGCGGGAGGGGCAGGAGGCGGGGCCGGTACCTGGTAGCTGAGGACGCCGTCCGGCTCACTGCGCCCCGCCGGCATGGCGGAGCCGAGCTGGATTCCCCTCCTCGAGAACCGAAGCCGTGGCCGCCCCGGGACAGCCGAGCTGCGGAGCCCAGTGCGTCTCCTCGGAGGCGACCCTGACCTCAGAGCCAACAGTCAACCATCAACCGCCGCCGCCACCTCCATAGCCACGGGCCAGCAAGGCATCCTCCATAGCCAATCAACGCCCGGCCTGCGCCGGCCAATCAGCGCGCCGAGCAAGGGGGACGCCGACCGGCTGGTACCTTGGCCTGAGAAGAAGGGCGGAGGGGGCGGAGAAAGAAGAGAGGAAGCGAGAGAACCTATTGGCTCCAGGGCCGGGTTGCCGTGGTAACCACCTCTCTCCCTGCGGGGACCTCGGAGCTTGAAGCCCCCACCCAGTTCCTGTAGACCAGCTGAAAATCGCGTGCTTGTAACCTCATTGCACCTGACTTTTAAAAAGGGGGGACGGTTTATTTTTTTTCTTCATTGTTTATGTCCCACGGAAGGTGATAATGACCCCCGTGCCCCCGAGAGTACTTTCCCCTGGAGTTTCAGAAGGAAGACGCTCCCAGTTTGAAGACTGGACTGAGGCCCACTAACCAAGCTAATTGTCCGTTACGGATCTGGTGCCTAGAGCACTAGGGGAAAACCACTGACCTGAGCTGAGTTTAGAAAATCATGAGGAGCCATTTCAATTCAATGTAGGCTTAAAAGTAAAAGGGACTTACTCGAGTTTAACCCTTTATCTAGGAATTCAATGTAACAAACATTAAGTACTTACTGTGTGTAAGAAAGGGAATGAAGGAGACTATTATTTCATAAAACATGCCATTGCCTTCTGAGTCAGCAAACCTGGCAGGAGTTCTTAATCTTTTTTGTGTCATGCATTTCTTTGGCAGTCTAAGTTTAATATTACTGGGGCTTGTGGCCTATATTCAGAATTTGAAGCAAATGCCAAATTTCAGTTAGAGGTTAGTGAAAATAAAGACGTAATTTTTTCACATCCAAGTTCACAGACCACTTGAAGTCTGCCAATGAATTCCAAGAATCCCTTCTTAGGGAAATTTATGTGTCATTTAATATATACAAACCATTTGCAAGTGAACGATTCTTAATTACCATGCAAAGCTAATAATCATGGAAATAGCTAACATAAAGGTTTTAAGGCTTGTAAAGCACTTCACATATTTTTTTCATGTGATCCCTACATCAACCTTGTGAAATGGGTTATATTATTATCCCCAGTTTACAGATGAGAGAATTGAGACTAACAATTCACCAAGTCATAGCAAATACTTATGTGACAGACCTTTGGGGAAGGAATTGGGGTTACATTCTTGTAGTGATAAAAAAAATCTCTGCTTTTATCTTCACAATGTGCTTAGAATAAAATTATCCCTACATATCCCTGAATCAGGACTTTATTTCTACCTAATTTTCTTTCAATCTAAGCCCCACCACTGCCTCCAATTCCTGATATATAGTCTCTGGAGGTGGGGATGAAGGTACATATTAAGGAAGTAGGAGCTAAGATACTTTTGAAAATAATTTCCCCTTAAGGATCACACAACAAGAGCACTACAATAAAAAAAATGTAAATATGTAACAGTAGAAGATACTGACCCAGGGAGATGGAAGTGTCTTCTCACTCTAAGGAGCCCCAGCTCTGAACTTACTAGCAGACCAGACCTCAGTTCTGAACTGAGGAAGCCTGGCTTCTAGAGAGAGGGGATAAGTTCTTCTTTTCTCTAGCTCTTTGCACCTGTATCCCAGAGCCCCAGCGAAAATGTCATAGACCTTAGGTTTGTTTCAGTCTGAGATCTCCCAAGAGCGTTTCCCACAGGACTCATGGTACCAACTGAGGGACTCAGACTGCTCAGACTTGTGAGTCTGCCTCTGAGACTGCAAACTTCCATCTTAGAACTGCTGTTCAGTTACCTATATTCAAGGAAAGAAACACAAAGCAGAAGGGGTATCCAGAACCTTGAGAACCTGACTCAGGCTCACATACTCACATACAGATGAGCACGAACTCAAATTGGCAGCTGGAGCTTCTTCTCTCCTACACAAAATGGAAATGCCAAAGAGTGAGTTCCATGCCACATAGTCAGGAGAAAGGAAAAAGAGAGAGCCAGTGAAGTCACTTCTTTTTTGTTCTACTAAGTGGGCCATTTTTTTGGGCCCAGTTATCAATCCTCTCTGACATAGGCACCCCTTGCTACCATCAAAAGGGATTGCTTTGTGATTGCAAAACACAATTTCTCTTACGCTGAATTACATATATTACTGGAAGTGGCCAAGGGAGCCCATCTCGGCTACACCCAAGATCCACAGATGTGTGCTTTAGCCAGAGCCAGAGTAGTTCCAGGCCAGTGATTGCCCTCATTACAAAGACAATAACTGGCAACAAAATCAATCAAATTTAAAATGGAAATTTAAATGGAAATTTTAAATTTTAAATGGAACCTGCTTCTGACTACACCCAAAGGAGGCAGGAAGTGAACCATTGAACAGACAATGATACCCAGACTCCCTAGCCTGGTTTTCTTGCCCCAATCTTTGGAAAGTAGGCTTGCGGGTAGAAGAAGGAAGAAGCAAAACGGAGGGATGCAAGGTGGCCAACAGAGGGCTGCAACGAGAGAGCTGAAGGACTGGAAAGGAGATGGAGCAGATCAAGTTATGAGACTGCTTGCTGAGAAAAATCAGTACTGAGGAAGCATAGCTGACCAATAGAGATCCAGAATGGGCAGAGGACAATGCAACGGCAAGCAGCAAATCTCCAACTCACAATGCCTTCACCCTACTCTTCCCATACACAAAGCAAGGAGCTGTATTTAGTGTACTGCCTGAATCATTCTTCTTTCTTCCTTTTCTTCCTTATAGTCAGTGAATATATTGTTCTGATTCTGTTGATTTCATTTTGCATTACCTTACATACATTTTTCATATTCCTTAAATATTACTTATTTATTATTTTTAAAGTATTTTTATTTGCTTGTTGCTTGTTAATTCATTTGCTTCTCTTAAGTGCCAAGAGTTTAAGAAATGAGTTTACTCTTTACTCTGCAGGTTTGTTTAATTATTTGTTTTAATTATGTTCATAATTTTAAAAAATTTAGAGAAAATACTTTCTATAGTGTTATGTAAAATCTGGGATTTTTTTAAACCTTTAGTCCTAAGATTAGTTTTAACAATTCTCACTCCCTTATGATGTTCTATTATATGAAAGATGCTTGCCAAATACCTAAATGTTGCAAAAAGGTGAACAGCAAAGTTCCTACCCTCAGGGAGCTTACAAGCCTCATTTTTCATGTCTGGACCTGAGATTTCATCAGTCTAGGGGATTCAAGGTATGGAAATTCCCTCTACCAATGCATATTGGCAATTCATCTGTGACTTACATTTATTTATTTGTTTGTTTGTTTGTTTGTTTGTTTGTTTTTAGGCAATTGGGGTTAAGTGACTTGCCCAGGGTCACACAGCTAGTAAGTGTCAAGTGTTTGGTCTGAGGCAGGATTTGTACTCAGGTCCTCCTGATTTCAGGGCCTGTGTTCTATCCACTGCGCCACCTAGCTGCCCCCATCTGTAACTTATAGTCTTAGTTGCTTTGGACCCAGACCAAGAAAGTGAGTAACTTGCCCATGGTCAAGTGGCTGCTATTCATTCAGAGGTAGCACTTGAGTCCAGGTCTTCCTTAATAGAAAACCAACCCAGGGGCAGCTAGGTGGCGCAGTGGATAGAGCACCAGCCTTGAAGTCAGGAGGACCTGAGTTTAAATCCTGCCTCAGACTAAACACTTGACACTTACTACCTGTGTGACCCTGGGCAAGTCACTTAATCCCAATTGCCTTAAAAAAAAAATAGAAGGCCAATCTACTATCTGTTGTACTATGATACCTTCTTACAATGTAGGTAACAAGGCAGAATATATATACATACATATGCATTTGTGTATAAGTATATTTATATATGTGTATGTAGCATATATGTCTATGTCCATTTCTATGTCTTTGTTATTTTATCTCCTGCTAGGTACAATGTTTCTCCTAAGGAAAGGCTGCTAAAAGCTAGGCTGGGCATCTTCCATCTGACCCAAAGCTATCATTTCCATCTACTATCTACTTCTGCCAGCCCAATCTCCCAACCGTGACGTGGAAGACCTCCAGTGTAAAGAAGAACAATCCTCCCTTTGACTTCTGGCCTCCAATCTCCTGCTATACTTGTCCTTTGAAGATAAAGGAGTGGAGCTCTCCACTCAGTGATGAGCATTCTCACAACTGCTCATACCTTTCACTTTCCAGTGACTCTGAACTCCTGTAGATCAGCATCCAAGCTTCATTCCTCACGCTCATCACTTGCTTCCTCATCCCCATCCTCCACAAATCTCCTACCTCAAAGTTTCAACCGAACTCCGCCCAGTCCTTCCACTGTACTCTGTAGAATAGCCATTCCATAGGCAACAAACTTCCCTTTATCTTAAATCTTTTCTTCTCCAATTCCTTCCATCTACTAGTTCTCAGTGAACCTGGCTTCCTCTGATGACAGATCCTGCTTAGACACCCTTTCCAGTACTGGCTGCACCTTCACTCATTCTTCTAGGCTTACTGGTCAGGGATGAGGGGCGGGGGAGTCGGAATACTCACAATCAGTAACTTCTCTTCCTTTGAGATTTATGCTATTCAAATCTACCACCTAATCAAAATCCTAGTGGCTATTGTTTATAGATTTCCAGATCCATTTCTTTCTTTCCCAATGAGTTTGATACCAGACTCACAACTTTTCTCTCCTCCCCAACTCCTGCTGTCATACTAGGGGATTTCAACATACATATTGATCCTCTCTTAGATACCCTAACCACTCAGTTCTTCAACCTACTCACCTCCCATGAGCTACTTTTCCACTTTGGTAGAGCCACACACAAAAATGATTATACCCTTGATTTGTGGGTTATGCCCACAAATATACTACCTTTATGTTCAAGAATTCTGAAATCCCCTTATCTGTCTATAATTGATTGACTTATAACCTCTCCCTATGCCTTCCCTTATATAACCCTACTCTTCATCTCCATTGTAAACTCCAACCCCTTGCTCCCTTAATTCTCTCTCAGGCCATCTCCCCTGCATTAGCCACTCTTCTCTCCATCTTGCACCTTTGGTGAGCTAATTCAACTCTACACTGTCCTCCTCTCTTGAATTTCTAGCCTCCTGATCATATCATTGATTATGCCTAGCCAAGCCTCTGTCACCTTCACATCTACACACAAGCTACTGAGCAAAGATGGAGAAAATCACGCAGCCATTCTGGCCTCTATACAACAGATTTATGTTATGCAACCTCAACTGGGCCCTCACTGCTGCTAGGCAATCCTACTATATCTCCCTTGTCAACTCACCCTCCCACTCTCCACAGCAGCTCTTCCAAACCTTCATGTCCTTCCCCAAACCTCCCTTACCCCCTGCTCCCTACTCTCTCAGCTGAGAACTTTGTCTCATATGTTACCAAAAAAAAAACTGAGACCATTTGCCATTCAGCCTCTTCTCCCTTCTTTCTCATTTCCTATCACTCAGATACCTTCTGCTACTCTCTCCTCCTTCACCCCCATCTCACATGATGAAACAGCCTTACTCCTTATCAAGGCTAATCCCTCTACTTGTTCAAGTGATCCCATTCCATCTTGTATCCTCCAATAGATTGCCCCTTGTATTCTCCCCCCTTTCATTTTTTCTCTTTTTTTTGGAGGCAATTGGGGTTAAGTAACTTGCCCAGGGTCACACAGCTACTAAGTGTCAGTTGTCTGTTAACCAAGGCTTGAAACCTTAGTATCATTTTTGACTCCTCACTCTCACTCATCCCACATATCTTTTTAGTTGTCAAATATGGTCATTTCTACCTATATGACATCTCTCACACAGATCCCCTTCTCTCTACTCATGCATCCACTACCCTAGTTCAGACCACCATCATCCCTCATCTGGACTTTTGCAATAGCCTTCTAATTGTCTTCCCAGCTCCAAGTCTCTCTTCTCTCCAATCCATCCTTCAATAACCTGCCAAAGTGATTTTTCTATAGCACAAATATGACCATGTCACTCCCCTACTCAGTAAGTTCTAGAAACTCCCTGTTACCTTCAGGGTCAAATATAGAGACTTCTATTTGGCATTTAAAGGCCTAGCCTCTATCTACTTTTCCAGTCATGTTGCACGTTATGCCCCTGCACACACATGCACACACACACACACACACACACACACACACACACACACACACACACACGCACTGCAGTCCAGCCACACTAGCCTTCTTACTGTTCCTCATATAAGATACCTCATCTCCTATATATGTGCCTTTCTCCTGGCTATCCTTTGTACCTAGAATGCACTTCTGCCTCAACTTCACCTCTCAGAGCTCTTGGTCCTTCAAGGTTCAGCTCATAAACCACCTTCTACATGAGTCCTTTCTTGGTAGTCCCAGCTGCTACTGTCTTCCCCTCGCAATCACTTTGTGTCTATTCTGTATATCGATATGTGTGTGTATACATATGTATGTCTTCTTTGGCTAGGCTGTAAGCTCTTCAAGGTAGGGACTACTTTCACTCTGGTCTTTGTATTCCTATCCTCGAACAGTGCCTGGAGCACATTAAGGCACTTGATGAATGCTTCTTTTTTGATTTATTCAGAGACAATTCCCTGGTTCTCTTCCTTCCTCTTTGCCTTCTCCACGTTGATGGCCCCTTGTTTTCTTCCCTGCCCTTTCATGTAGATCTTCTCCAATATTCTTTTCTTGACCCTCTTCTCTTCATACTTCATTGCCTGGTAATCTCATTCATTCACACACCTTGATGCATAAGACTCCTAAATCTGTGCCTCCAGCTCTGATTTCTCTCTTAAATTCCAGACCCATATGTCCACTGACATCTCTACCTGAATGTTCCACTAGAACTTCAAACTCAAGAGGTCCAAAGCCAAGCCTATTGTCTTTCCTCATCAACTTGTTATGCCCTTTCACTTCACTATAATAATAGCTAACATTCAGAATGGATGGCTCTGACCTGAGGAATTTCTCCTCTTCTTAAGAGGGCCAAGCATAGGGCTC